CCTGTACGGCCGGCGTGTCCCACACCCGTCGCCACCAGCAGCCCTGTACGGCCGGCGTGTCCCACACCCGTCGCCACCAACAGCCCTGTACGGCCGGCGTGTCCCACACCCGTCGCCACCAGCAGCCCTGTACGGCCGGCGTGTCCCACACCTGTCACCACTAGCAGCCCTGTACGGCCACCGTGTCCAACAATAATCGCCACTAGCAGCCCTGTACAGCCGGCGTGTCCAACAACCATCGCCACTGGCAGCCCTGTACGGCCGGCGTGTCCAACAATAATCGCCCCTAGCAGCCCTGTACGGCCGGCGTGTCCCATATCCGTCGCCACTAGCAGCCCTGTACGGCCGCCGTGTCCAGCAATAATCGCCACTAGCAACCCTGTACGGCCGGCGTGTCCCACACCCGTCGCCACTAGCAGCCCTGTGCGGCCGGCGTGTCCCACACCCGTCGCCACTAGCAACCCTGTGCGGTCGGCGTGTGCCACACCCGTCGCCGAGCGCGGCCGGCCCGTGACCGCACCGGCGTCTCACCTGGGAGCGGGTGAGCTCCTCGATGGGCAGGCCGGCCGGCCAGCCGGCGCGACCGGCCGCCAGCGGCGCCGCCTGCCAGTGGCGCAGCACCTGGGACGCCGTCGGCTGGTCCGGGTCCACCAGCCGCAGGGCCGTGATGTTGGTACCCAGGTAGCGGAAGTCGTCCAGGTCCACTGTGTGCACGTCCTGCGAAACAGACGGCGTTGCACGCTGAGAGCGTGTGAACACCGGCGAGTGTGTGGTACGGGTTGTGTGAAAGCGAGCAGGTTTGCTTCGGAAGCGTTATTTAAGCGTACAGGTAAGCTGCATGAGGAGCGTAGCATGCTCGATGTGGGACTTGTGTGTGTCTCAGATACGCCGCCTCGAGAACACAAGACATAGTCTAAACGAATGTATGGACGACGTAGCCAAAATGCATTAATTTTCTCATAAATCATGATTATCATTCTCAAATCATTCTCAATCACATGAATACGGGGAAGGTCCGACTCCCAAGGTAATTTGTCATGAGCGTCGTGCCAGATGCGCCGATAGCCCAGGACACCGATGGGCGCTGACCGCGACGAACTGATCTGGCTCGGACGGCGACAGCGCTGGCACATCACGGAGGCGGGTCAGTGCGGTCTCCCCCGGCCCCCGTCAATCAGCATTTTGAGCGAGGGGGCGCGGTGCACTTGGCCCTGACAGACGCTTGGCCAATGGCACGAAGGGGCTCGCCGGGGTAGGCGCACATCGCGTCGCTGGGGCACCGGCTGGCGGCGTCCGGACCAGCCGGACCACCTTCGGCAGAGAAGTCCGCGTCCGGACCAGCCGGTCCACGTTCGGCAGAAAAATCCGCGTCCGGACCAGCCGGACCACGGCCAGCAAGAAAGTCCGCGCCATCAGTATCTCGCGTTCGCCGGCTGGCGGCCGGCGAGACAAATGTCGCCGCGGGCGTCGTGTCTGCGGACTTGTAGCCCACATAGGGGCATAAGTGACACTGGCAACATCGGTGACCACTGCAACCTGTAGCCCACATCGGGTGATCGGTGACACCGGTGACCGCTGCGACCTGTGGCCCACATCGAGTGATCAGTGACACCGGTGACCGCTGCGACCTGTGGCCCACATGGGATGGGACATCGGTGCGAGAAGCGCGAGTCACATCCATATTCTGATGCTGTGACAGGCCGAGCAAAGTGCACAGCACACCACTGAAGTCGGCCGTAAAAAACAAGGCTACTCAATTAACCATGGAAAACTAAATCACGTGCAAAGTTATGTCCTGGTTTACGGGTTGGTGAATGGTGACTTGATGATGCGTCTCTCCATACCTACCGCCTAGGTGCACATACAACTTAGCCATCTTAAAACGCCAGCAGATTAAAAAAAAATATTATTTTGGACGAAAGCAGAGGTGCACTGTTACTAATGGATGGCCACAAATGCTCTCGTCACACGTCGGGGATGCACGGCTGTGACGAGGCCTGGCGTCTGACCAGTGAGGTGAGAAGGTAGCTGAAGTACTGGTTCATCATGCCGATCTCCTGCGCCTGTTCCAGCAGCGGCCGCAGCAGCGACAAAGCGACAGTCCAGCACTATCTTGGTGCTTCCGCTCTTCTTGATCCGCTTGAGTAGCGGCCTGGAATGGGGCCAGAGCGTGCGTTTGTCGCCGGTGCGCGACCGTGCGTCCCCTCTCCCTCCATTCGCCGTCCATTAGTGGCGGCTGGAGGAGGGACGGGCGTTACATTACAGCCACCATTACGGTCAGGATCCGCACCAGCCCGACAGACGACGCTCCGCACGGCGCCGCTGATCTCTGCAGTGACCCGTGACGGTTCTCCGGCGGCCTAGTGCGGCTGGTGTACCACCACCCCCGGGCGGGGCCGTCTGCGGGCCGTCACCACCGGCACGGTGCCATCTGTGTACCACCACCACAGCCTGGTGTCAGCTGTGTGTCATTATTACCATGCGTGTGCCGTCTGTCCACCACCACCCCAGCCTGGTGCCGGCTCTCCTTCTCCCGGCGGCACAGTCACTGCGGTGGTTGGCCTGCGCCGGCGAAGTTGCTAGAGCGAAGGCGGAGGGGGGGGGGGGGGGCGGGTTACGGCAATTTGGGCCTCAAGACGGCTGGCATACTCTCTCGGCTGGGGCGTCAGACCAGCCTGGGCGTCAGACCAGCCGGACGTCAGATCAGCTGGGGCGTCAGACCAGGTGGGGCGTCAGACCAGCAGGGGCGTCAGACCAGTTGGGGCGTCAAACCGTCAGACCAGCTGGGGCGTCAGACCAGCCGGGGCGTCAGACCAGCTAGGGCGTCAGACTAGCTGGGGCATCAAGCTAGCTGGGGCGGCCGTGCCGGCTGAGAGCCAGTCATCTCCGGCCTTGTGACTGATGCGTTCCGGGCGGAAACTGTCTCCGCCGGCGCCGTCTATCAGCACTCGGGGGACGCACAGCCCGTGTCCGGACGGCAAACGCCTTCTTCATAGGGTGCTTGGCGGCGGAGGAGGGGGCTACGGTGTCGACAAAACCACCGGCACTGACACTCCGCCGGCACTCAAGAATAGAAGCTGCGGCCCTCCCCGTCCGGTGAGGACTGAACTCAAGAATAGAACATACGGCTCTCCCCCGTCCGGTGAGACTGAACTCAAGAATAGAACATACGGCTCTCCCCCGTCAGGTGAGACTGAATTCAATAATAGTAGCTGCGGCTCTCCCTCGTCCGGTGAGACTGAACTCAAGGATAGGAGCTGCGGCTCTCCCCTTTCGGTGAGACTGAACTCAAGAATAGCACCTGCGGCCCTCCCACGTCCGGTGAGACTGAACTCAAGAATGGGAGCTGCGGCCCTCCCCATCCGGTGAGACTGAATTCAAGAGTAGAACATGCGGGTCTCCCCCGTCCGGTGAGATCGAACTCCAGAATAGGAGCTGCGGCTCTCCCCCGTCCGGTGAGGCCGAACTCAAGAATAGGAGATGCGGCTCTCCCCCGTCCGGTGGAGACTGAACTCAAGAATAGAACATGCGGGTCTCCCCCGTCCGGTGAGACTGAACTCAAGAATAGGAGCTGCGGCTCTCCCCCGTCAGGTGAGACTGAACTCAAGAATAGGAGCTGTGGCCCTCCACGTTCGGTAAGACTGAACTCAAGAATAGGAGCTGCAGCTCTCCCCCGTCCGGTGAGACTGAACTCAAGAATAGGAGCTGCGGCCCTCCCACATCCGGTGAGACTGAACTCAAGAATAGGAGCTGCGGCTCTCCCCCGTCCGGTGAGGCTGAACTCTCACCAGACGAGCTTTATGTCACATGCGCCGGCCGAGCGGCTCACGGGTGCCCTGCTATCCAACAGCTCAACACGTCCGAGCTAAGCAGAAATCGGCATTGAAAATCCCATGTAGAACTAGATCAGAACACGTAGAACGAAATCAGAACACGTAGAACCAGATCACAACAGGTAGAACTAGATCAGAACACGTAGAACTAGACCAGAACAAGTAGAACTAGATCAGAACACGTAGAACTAGGTCAGAACACGTAGCGGGTGCAAGTAGCCTTTCAGGAGTTACGAGAAGCCAACGGGGTAAAAAATGGAAGATCGAGGCATTTATTTTAACGCCAGGGCTGTGCGCTACGGCAGCGTGGTAAGCAGCGACATACATTTCTGGCCGACCGTTACCAAGACTGTTGAAAGGACTCCATCAATGGATACGATCCGTGACATCGAATCATAATCAGGCCAAGTCCGCATAAGCCCATTCCCCATACACTTATAGTACAAACAAGCAAACAACTATGCTTAGTTACCGTGACATTGCGTCAGAATATTGGTCCCCATATCCAACATATTTCCAAAATACCAACAGACAGCGCATGGTAAACACACCGGCCAGCCCCCCCCCCTCCCCACTCCTCCAGCAGTCTTAGCGCTCCGCTCGATCTGGCACCCCCAGCGGCCCTCGAGCGCAAGACACTGGCGTCCAATTAGAGCAGAGCAAATCAGGTCATACGTTGCAGATAGTTTCCCATAAATGTTACAAATATGAGTTTCATTCTCATAAATTCTAGTAAGTACCTGAATCATTAGTGAACGTTACTTGAAAACCATATTCTGCTGCAAGTACATGTTGCTGGGCACCTAAGGGAGAAATGCGACAGACGCAACATCGAGAAAGCTGCCATCCGTCGTGATGTATCGAACATTAGGTCTCCATGCTGCTAGGAATTTCCGGATACAAAATAAGGGGTTCAAAAGTTGCTCCAGAACAAATTTAAGAGATCTTTGTCTCCCTTACTTCTGACGGGAGCTTTGGTACCCTTGCCCTTCCGTAGATAGCCTACTCTTTCGACAGCACCTTGTCCGTCAAAGCAGTGCCATGAATTCATTCATATCATTTGCTCTACTCATGCTATACCAGACGAAAAACAAAGGAACTGTTAAAAAAGGTTTATGTTCGCGGAACTGCAAAATTACCAGCTGACTAATGAATAGCCAGACCTCGCCCCGGAATTGAGAGAAGAACGGTCTGCAAATATTTTCCGTCTGTCCGCTACACTTCTTCCGACTTCTGAGAAAAAATGTTCAGTCTTCCCTCGTCATTATGAGCGAAACATCAGCAGGTTGCTTTTCAGCCCTTCTGTTCGTTAGTCACGAGGGGGATCTGAAGAGCCTGAACTCATTGTGCATTAAGCAAACAATGTCGGCGTAGCGCTGTGCGTTTGATGACATACTCTCGAGCCCCTCCCGCGCCAGCCGCGCTTTAGTACACAGGTCTGGTGAGCAATCCGTTTGATGGTCTGATTGCCAATCAGTCTGATGGGCTGATGGACAATCAGCCTGATGGGCTGATGGACAGTCAGTATGATGATCTGATGGACAGTCAGTCTGATCGTCAGATAGGCGGTCAGTCTGATTGCCCGATGGACAGTGAGTCTGATGGGCCAGATGAACAGTGAGACTGATGATCTTTTGGGCAATCCAGTGGGCAGTGGCGTAAAAATTCAAAGTCTGCACTTATTTTGCAGATGTTCCAAGCTTTTGCCAAACATGCATTTTGATACTGGCGGTCGATGCAAAGTCAGTCCGCCTCCCACAAACACATCGCAAGGCGGAGCTTGCTCATTATGTGTGCTTGCGCTGCGGCTGTTTGCCTAGCAGACCGCCATTTTGTGTGCTTGAGTTGTAGCTGCTTGCTTTGGCACTGGTCATCAAGGCCGCCATTTTGTAAAAAATCCCGAAATAATCACCCAATTCATTTTCATGCGTCATAAAGATTTGCGGTTTCTGGCCACTTTACACATCTCTGAGAGAAAGGCTATTTTCGATTCATGGCTCCGACATCTGCGTCAGAGAAGGTTATACTACATTGGACGTGTGTTTATCACTGAGCAGAAAGAGCAGGGAATCGTTCAAAAATCACTGAATGATGGCATGTGTAGCAATGAACACCTTGACACTGGGGGTGAGGAGGCATCATGAACATGATACATCGCGCGACATTCGCTCCGTGCAATACAGGCAACGGATCTGGCTCATGTCAATGCGCCGGTGACGCCTATCAGTGACCCGCTGTGATCTGATCCAGTGACCCGGTAACGTGTATGAGTGACTCGGCGTCCGGTCTGAAACAGTGACCTCGTGTCTGACCTTGTGACGCAGATCGGCGACCTGAGTCACAGGCGGCACGAGAACCTGAGTCACTGGCCCGAACAGGCGGTCTGAGCCAGTGACCAGATATCTGACCAAGTGATCTCGACCAGTGACCCGACAGCTGGCCCGGTGACCTGATCTGGCGATCCCGCGCTGACCTGTAGTCGGAAGAGTCGGGGGGCAGCTGGCGAATGGTGATCTTGAAGTGGGAAGAGGAAGGAGCCTTGAGCAACTCCTGAAGACGAACCAGACCGTCGATGTCCTCGTAGATGATGGTGAAGGTCTTCCAGCCCCAGTGCTGGGTCAGGGATACGTACGCCTGCCGGGGAGAGTGGCGGGTGACGACCGAGGACTGATGGAGCACACCCAGGCGGAGGGCGGCACACGACTGCAGCGCGTCGGACATGGGATCACCACAGCCATGTTCGAATCCCATGTGTTTCACAAAAATTTCACTGATCGTGGTGCAAAAAAAGACGAATAAGTGTTATATAATGTGAGCAAAAAATGGGATTGATGAGATCTTCTTTAAGATTGGCCCAGCCTATCTTTTTTGAATATATTTTGAACCTTTTTGATTGAATGCATTTCTGGAATCATACCACACGTTACTTGATGTTTGTGTGAACCCAGGTCACGACATCCGATCGTGAAATCCTCGTTCAACGGTATCATTTTGGTCCAAAGTTGAGCATGCAACAATGCTCAGCGTGCTTCGTCCCGCCCTCTGATTTCATCTGACCCAGCGCGGCTGCTGCCACCGGCCGCCGGCCATCGTAGTCGGAGGCAAGTCATTAGCGAGAGCGTGAGACGACACAAACTCTCCCCCGCCACGAGCGACGTGGCAACCAGATGCCTTTTCCCACTAGGCCACGAGAGCGGACTGTTGATCGTTTTTGAGCCATCAAGAGAAACGCTCAAGTCTCGCCCCAGCAAACGGAGAGCGCAAGACGCCTCGAGAACTGCCGTTTTAACCTTCGCCTGGTACGGAGGCTTTCCAACTTCCGTGCCGCAGGTGGTCGATTGTGCGCCTCTCCTCCGCTTCCAGTTCCACAGCACAAGCGACTGCTTTGAAAGTAAAATCGCAAGGCAGTAGGTCAGTGTGTGATCTACGACTTGCAAAGGATCATTTTTAGCCAACTCTTTTTGCCGAATATGTCCATTAAGTAATACTGATGCTTAAGTCGCGGCAGGTCACCATTCACTTCCAGTGGGAATCCGGAGTCATCTGAAGTCACCCAGCGGCATGCCACGGCCTTGGGCTCGAATGATCTTGCACTCACAACCACCATCCCGAAAAATAACACTGATGCACTGTAAACAACTGCTAGCTTTTTGGGGAGATTATGACTGCTTGGTCCGGCGTGACGATGGGCTCGATGAAACATGAGTCACTAGTGGCATCTGTTTATCACTTCGGTGTATGATGCCATGCATTTGCTTCATATGTACCTGTTGTCGAAAGGTATAACGATCCCATGTGATGGATTCATGTCGACATGAAAATGCCTTAACTTCCCTTGAGAACAGATAAGCCATGCGCAGCAAACAGCATTGATAAAATCAATAATGCGTCGTCAGGTACCTAGATTCACTCAACAAAATCGTGCGGTGCTCATACTAATTATAAAAAGGATGCGTCGCAACACACGGAATTACCGAATTTGCATGCTGCATTCGCCTTGGACAATATTACATTTCGATGGTCAGTTGACTCGGTAATAAGTTGAAATTTTACGTCAAGTGAAAATAGCCCTAAATTCTCAAACTAAGGTAAACCAGCTTTATCATCATTCACCAAATGTTTCGTAACAAACCGATGGACAAAACTCGGTGATGAGTTAACAACGACCTATTACAAGTTAAGGTGTTTCCACGTGGCCATGCGACCACCTTGTAGGCGCCGTGTATTGCACCACGCCCGTAGGACGGCGAAGCAGAGGTTCCTGACGCTGGTTAGCTGGCTTTGTGTCACAGCTTCAATGCTCGCTAAAGCCCATCAAAATAAGCGCTTATCAGTCAAGTCCCAGACGTCCATCACAGCCCCTGCTCTGCGTGACCATGCAGAGATATGCGGGGAGCGTCAGCAGCTTCTGCTATCCCGGGGCCTCCTCTTTGGCGTCGGTTTGCGGCCTTTCACCTTGATAATCATTAATGGGCTCCTAAATGGAGCAGTAACGCGGAATTGGAGCCGCGGATGCCGGGAGATAAATGGCCTCACACGAGATTTACCGCCGCCGCAAAACATCAGGGTCGCGTCATCCCCGGCAGCCGGGGGTCGTCGCTGGAGAGCTCTGGGCGTCAGGCCGGGGAGCTTTCGCCATCAGGGCAGGGCAAGCTGGGCGAGCCATCTCAACTGGAGCTGGGTGACTTGGGACGGGACGAGATGGCGAACGGAGAACTGGTGAACGCGAGGATATGGCGAACGCAGAACCAGTAAACGCGAGGATGTAGCGAACGCAGAACCAGTAAACGCGAGGATATGGCGAACGAAGGCCAGTAAACGCGCACTCGGGCATGCACCCGGTTATTACTTGCCTTTCGAAACCCCACCGGGAATTCGAAAGGCTGATGGCTTTTACGCCTCCATCACCACGTGGGGCAAGCCGGTGCCCTCCCAGACTTGGTGTGGTTTGAGAGAACGTCACCCGGCGTCACCCGGAGCCGCCACTCCTACCTTGCTGAGCGTAGTGGGATGAGGGATGGATGTTACCGAGTAGTCGTCCCTCTTGAGCCGGTAGTCCCAGCGCGTCTCCACGTGCGGCATCTCCATGGCGTCACAGATGCTCTGCACGTGGGCGGATGTCGAGGGCGTCTGTGGCCCGAAGATCGCCGCCACCCCCTGCTCCATCAGCGAGCACACTGGAACACGCGCAGGGCCTGCGATACTCTGGCCCGCCACAGATCGAAGATCGCCGCAACCCCCTGCTTCATAAGCGAGCACGCTGGCACACACACACAGGGCCTGGGGTACTCTGTGGCCCGGAGATCGCCGCCAAACCCTGCTTCATAAGCGAGCACGCTGGAACACACACACAGGGCCTGGGGTACTCTGTGGCCCGGAGATCGCCGCCAACCCTGCTCCATCAGCGAGCACGCGGGTAACACACACACAGGGCCTGGGGTACTCTGTGGCCCGGAGATCGCCGCCAAACCCTGCTCCATCAGCGAGCACGCTGGAAACACACACACAGGGCCTGGGGTACTCTGTGGCCCGGAGATCGCCGCCAAACCCTGCTCCATCAGCGAGCACGCTGGAACACACACACAGGGCCTGGGGTACTCTGTGGCTCGGAGATCGCCGCCAAACCCTGCTCCATAAGCGAGCACGCTGTGGAACACCACACACAGGGGCCTGGGGTACTCTGTGGCCCGGAGATCGCCGCCACCCCCTGCTCCATCAAGCGAGCACGCCGGTAACACACACACAGGGCCTGGGGTACTCTGTGGACAGGGGCGCTGGTTGACGCGGACGGAAGGGGTCCATCGGCTGGCATTGGACAGCCCCTGTGGCCTTCCATGAATTGAATTATGTTTCTAGGAAGCACGTCCAGGAAAACGTCTTCACGAGCGGGTAAGCCCATGATATCCGGGAGACATTACGAAAGAAATACAACTGAAAAAATACAACCTTGAAAGGACAGCTGACAGCAGTAGAGGCACATGTAGGGACCCGTGCGATGTCGTAAAGATAGGCACGACATGACAAATGTGGCTTCTGTTATTAAGAACCAAAAGCGTGTGCCATATTACAAAACGTCAAGCAAAAATGTCGAGAACCGAGGGACCACCGGAACGGATAGCGAACGAGCTGGGTACAGAAAATCTGCGAAGGCATCCCATCGCGCAGAGGCTGAAGGTGACCATCCATGCCACCATTTCTAACTGACGGTCGGCATAAACCAACCACATCAGAATACGATCCTGATTTATGCTTGCATGATCTCTCAGCAATGGCTCTTCAGAGCACCCTTCATTATTAGGCCTCATCTCAACACTGCTGTCAGAAAACGCAGCGAACCTTTGTCTGGTAACTTTGTCTTTGGACCGCATACGAAGTATCTGCTTGATAATTTCAGGTCCACGATCCTGCTATTTACTTCAAGACAGTTTTTATGAAACGGAACAAACGCAAACTAGGAGATGGGGTGCAATACAAACCATTACAAACGCTCAGTGTGCAGGCACAAACTCGGCAAGAGGAGCAAACCCGTCGCAGCCCCTGAAGACAGCCCAGACGAGTGCATACGGCCGCTGCGTGCCCTGGGAAGCATCGAGCTTGCTCCCCGACTGCACAAACACAGCGGGAGGCGTGAGCAGGCCGACCGGGCAGCCCCGGTGGGAGCTGATGTAATGACCCAGCGCCCATTAATCTACCCCCCGACGAGGCGTCGCGCCGTCAAGCAGCGGCGCCTGGGCTGCGTCCGGCGGCCCGGTCCGGTCCCGGCACCGGGGCCGGCTCAGAGGCGTCGCGCCGCCAGCAGCGGCGCCTGGGCTGCGTCCGGCGGCCCGGTCCGGTCTCGGCCGGGGCCGGCTCAGAGGCACCGCGCCGCCAAGCAGCGGCGCCTGGGCTGCATCCGGCGGCCCGGTCCGGTCCCGGCGCCCGGGGCCGGCTCAGAGGCGTCGCGCCGCCAAACAGCAGCGCCTGGGCTGCGTCCGGCGGCCCGGTCCGGTCCCGGCGCCCGGGGCCGGCTCAGAGGCGTCGCGCCGCCAAACAGCAGCGCCTGGGCTGCGTCCGGCGGCCCGGTCCGGTCCCGGCGCCGGGGCCGGCTCAGAGGTGCCGGCACCGCCCTTACGTCCCCACGGGCTGCCGTTAGCGGCGCTCTTAGGTCGGCCACCATCAAAGGCAGATCAAACATGAGCGAGTAACGGCCCGTGGACATCATTAAGATGGCGAAGAAGCTGTTGTTCGCCTATTTAACCCTTGTTTTTGATGAATTAACCTCATATTTGGCGCGTCGGTCCTCCGAAAGTTCACGCTAAATACCAATTATTTATGGTATGTATGGTTTGAAGCGCACTTCTGAGCATAGCTAGCATTGTTCGTTCTTGTTTGCAATATAATTATACAAGCATAAGGCTTATCTGACTGATTGTTACACCGTTTATCGCCTGTAGTATGTTTTGGTGACCAGCCTATCATTCATTTGATTTGTTTCATCACTGAGTTTCTGGATGCGGGAATTGTTCCGCCATGTTTCAGGCAACGTAGGCACTGGGCGATAGGTTTCGCGCAAAGCTCGCTGAAAATTATTAAGGCAGGCTAGCAATAAAAATGATGCATTATATATATATATATATATATATATATATATATATAATGCATAAATTAAAAAGACCTTGAGTTCATATGCTCGTGTCTGATACGTTGTTTCTTTATTTGACGTTGCTCTGACTTAAAATAACGGAGTATCGCCCCTTCGGCACATGTCCTTTTCCACGTTGTTTTCTCAGTCTCTCTGATTAATTGCAAACGAGTCGCCTTGAATGTAAAATTGCAATAGAAGTCGTCCCAGCCAGTGCATTGCCATGGTGCAAGGTAAAAACAGCATGCGATTGATGGTGACGCTGCAGACTCACGAGATGCCACCTGGCAGGGCTTGACTATGGTGTTCAACACCGCTGACACGCGCAGCTCAAGCTTTTCCCATCACTTTTGGATCTTTTAAGACATCGCCTGATTACTTGTGACTGTTCCTAAACATCTGCATTCGTTATGCCATTAAAGCCCCGCTGGATGAGGCCTCCAGCAAGGGGTTTAGCGAGGCATGTAGTACGAGCTATATGAGCTCGCGTGAGCAAAGAGGCCCAGCGAGACTCATGACGTCTTCCGAGTCGGCGTATTCCATATCTGATTTCTCGAACGGATGGAATACACGCTGTTCTGGTGGTGACGTCTTAGTCAAAATCGCTGGATCTGGTGTTGAGACACAGTGTTAACACCCAGGCGGAAAGAGCGAGCGAGCTGCTCGGCCCACCCGTGCCATTGGGGAAGCTGAGTACTAATGTGGGCCTCGAACTGGGCCTGGACATTGTGATCTTTAAGAAACGAACAGATTTGGGATAGAGTTGCCGCCTTTTGAGACCCCAAAATCTCGCCCGCCGCCAACAGTGGGATACCGCAGGACAAGTTTCTTAAAAAATCCCGCTCAGACATCCATCATTGGCAAAACTAAGGCTCTTTATATTCATGCAAATATTTCATACAATATCCCTTATCTATGCATCTCAAACAATAACAACACAACGATGTCAATATATATATAATATATTATATATATATAATATGCATTTTTAACACTTTTTGGCAAGGCCACAGGGCATCTCTCCGGGGGCAATGCTACGCTGCAAGATGCGTATGATAATTGCCTATTCTTATGCGACCTTGAAACATCACCTAGGTATTTGCCTCAACAGGTAATCAATTCGGTTTCCCTGCGGAAAATGACTGTTGGCTAAGGCCAGAAATCCAGCTTGCAATCAACCCATACAACCGATTCCAGGGCAAAAAGGTACACACACTCTATTGGCTTCAAGAAAAGTCTGACGAGGACATGCACATTGATAATGATGCACTCGTTTACGGCCGTGATACATTTAGTGCACGCAGTATGCCAAACCACAATAG